CAAACAAACGGTTCGGTGGGCAACCGGGCGGAGGCATTACCCCTTCTAAGGCCTTCCTGACCTTCGATTCGACCTCCCAAACAAGAGTGGAGACAAACAGAGTCTCGGGTAAAATACACTCGGGAGTAGACGGGCGCTCGGAATGCTCAAAAACGCGTGACAAAGAATCAGGTTTAACGTTTTTGGAACCTGGGCGGTACGAGAGAGTAAAATCAAAACGTCCGAAAAAAGTGCCCACCGAGCCTGCCTGTAGTTCAATCTTTTGGCAGTCTTAATGTATTCAAGATTCTTGTGATCGGTTCAAACGATAAAAGGTACCCCCGACCCTTCTAACCAGTGACGCCATTCCTCCAACGCTAGCTTGACTGCCAACAACTCTCTATTACCAATGTCATAGTTGCGTTCGGCAGGGGATAAACGATGGGACAAAAACGCGCATGGATGCATTCTGTCGTCCGTGGGAGAATGCTGGGAAATCACTGCACCTACCCCCACCTTTGACGCGTCGACCTCCACCACGAACTGACGTGAAGTATCAGGGGAAACGAGAATGGGGGCTGAAATAAACCGGCCTTTGAGTTTGGCAAACGCAGCTTCCGCTGCGTCTGACCACCTGAACGTCGTTCTGGGGGAGGTCAAAGCGGTCAGAGGCGAGGCTAGTTGGCTGAAGTTGCGAATAAACCGCCGGTAAAAATTGTCAAACCCCAGAAACCTCAGTAGGGCCTTACGGGAATCTGGACTTGGCCAATCCACCACAGCCTTAACCTTCTCAGGATCCATACGTATTCCCTCAGTCGACACAATATATCCTAGGAAAGAAACATACTGTGCATGAAAATCGCATTTCTCCGCCTTGACAAAAAGCCCATTCTCTAGCAACCTCTGGAGCACTCGCCGAACGTGCTGCACGTGTTCCTGGAGAGAAGATGAAAAAATCAATATGTCATCCAGGTAAACATATATGAACTGATCAACCATATCTCGCAGCACGTCGTTGACGAGTGCCTGGAAGACTGCTGGGGAGTTGGACAGCCCGAACGGCATAACCAAATATTCAAAATGACCCCTGGGGGTGTTAAAAGCAGTCTTCCATTCATCCCCCTCCCTGATGCGGACCAAATGATAAGCGTTACGTAAGTCCAATTTAGTAAAGACAGATGCTCCTTGCAACCTCTCGAAGGCTGAAGACATCAACGGCAAAGGATAAGTATTCTTTACCGTGATGTTGTTCAGCCCCCGGTAATCAATACAAGGTCACAGGGATCCATCCTTCTTCTTCACAAAAAAGAACCCCGCCCCCGCTGGAGACGAGGAAGGACGGATGAACCCTGTTGCTAGAGAATCAGAAATATATTTCTCCATAGCCTCCCTCTCTGGGACAGAGAGCGAATAAAGTTTGCCTTTAGGCGGAGACTTACCTGACAGTAAATCTATGGCACAGTCATAGGGACGATGTGGAGGAAGAGAAGCAGCACGAGACTTACTGAACACTTCCTTCAGGTCTAGATACTCTGTGGGCACGTTAGATAAATCCATTGCCTCCTCCTGAAAGACAGAGACAGACACAGACGAACAAGCAGACACAAGACAGGACTCATGACATTTACTGCTCCACTCCAATACTGCTCTCTGCTGCCAGTCTATTTTCGGGTTGTGTTTGATTAGCCATGGGTGTCCGAGTACAATGGGTGCCAGAGGGGAGTCCAATACATAAAATGAAATAGTTTCCGAATGATTGCCAGATGTAATAAGCGTGATGGGTCCGGTGATGAGAGAAATGGTGGGTAGATCTTGGCCGTTGAGTGCGTGGACTGCTATCTTGTGTGTGAGTGGTAAAACAGAAACTTGAAATCTTTGTGCAAACGAACGGTCCATAAAATTACCTTCGGCTCCCGAGTCCACCAGTGCTTGACAATTGTGATCATGAGTTGACCATCTTAGTCTTCCCGGGAGGAGCGTAGATGTGAATGAGGTCTTCGCAGCGGAGATCCCACCCGACAGTAGCCTCATACTTACTGCCGGGCTGTGCCTTTTACTGGGCAGTTATAGGCGAAATGGCCCGAGGCCCCGCAGTATAAGCAGAGCCCTTGGGATCTCCGCCTTTCCTTCTCCTCCCGAGAAAGCCGAGCTCGCCCGACCTGCATGGGCTCGTGATCGTAGACGGGGCTGACCGCGTCCCCGCCGCTGGACTGCTGACTCTCGGCACCCTCTAGAGATCGGCTGGGCAGTCTCCACCGTTCCACTCTGGTCAGGCGTGCATCAACTCGGAGGGCCAGGTCAACCAGGGCATTCAATGAAGTGGGGAGGTCCAGGGCATAAATCTCCTTCGGGACGCGGTTAGCCAACCCATGCAGGAATATGTCCCACTGCGCCTCCTCGTTCCACCGACACTCAGCCGCCAGGGTTCTAAATTCGATTGAATACTCCGATACCGATTTCTCGCCCTGCATGAGTTCGGTGAGCATGCGAGCTGCCTCCTTCCCGGCGATGGCTCTGTCGAACACCCTCTTCATGTCTGGAACGAGGTGCAGCAGGGATCTTGATTCTCCCACACCGCCGTCCCCCATAACGCTGCCTTCCCCGTGAGCAGCGTGAGCACAAAGGCTACCTTAGCCTGTTCGGTCACAAAGGTCCTGGGCTGCAATGAGAAATGCATAGAACACCGATTCAAGAATGCTCTGCAAAAATTCGGCTCACCAGCATATGACTGTGGTATAGGTAGACGGGGCTCCGACTGTGGGACGCTCTCCGGAGGTGTGGGGGGAACGGTCGGTGTGGGTGGCGCAGTGGGAGCTCGCAGAAGTTGTAGTTGCTGGGCGAGCTCGGACACCTGCGTCACCAAAGCTTGCACGGCCCGAGTAGTGTCGTTAAAACCTCTTTCCTGGTTGTCCATGCGTCTAATGCTGGTGTTGACAAAGTCCTCCAACGCCGACGAACTACTCGCTGCTTCCATCTGATGGTCAGATCGTTCTGTCATGATTAATGAAGCGGAAGCAAAAGTGCTAGTAACTTGTTTATTGTGGTAGAATAAATGAACAGTCTCAAGTTCGTTTGGTGACGCAGGGACAAGATGGTCAGAGTCCAAGTGCTGAGTGTTGAAGTGATGAAGAGTGAGTAATCCAAACACGAACAGGAAACGAGACCAAGACAGGAACAAACCGCAACACTGCAAGGACGACTGGAACAGGACCAAACACGAACGAGACATCAAACAACGATCTGACAAGGAGAGAAGAATGGGGTGAGTATTTATGGGAGAGCAGATTGGATGCAGCTGGAGAGGAGATTGATCAGCTGATCGCTGATCAAGTGGAACGAGCCGTCACGCCCACACACATAACAACAACTACACGAGATAAGAGGGAACCAATGAATTTACGAACCGTGACAACGTCGTGCCAAACTCCTGAGTTTGTCCTTGATTCTGTTGTGGTTGAGATTGTCCTCTCTCTCCTGAATGAGCACATGGCTGGTTGTGAGTTAAGGCCTGCTGCCCTGGGGTCTGAGGCCTAGTGCAGCCCTGCAGGACAGCAACCCGAACGTACTGTAGGAGAGAAGGCCAAGAGAAGGAAGGGCTTGTGGACAGGCCATTTAAAGCTTCACACCTTTCAGGGTTGGCTCAATCAATAAGAAAGGGGGAATTTCTAAGCAGGAGATACCTCTGTGGGGAGGATTTATGACGCTATCTCGAGTGTGGTTAGACATTCCGCCTTCCTGTTTGTGTCAATTAATGCTCAGCTAGATATAACAAACACACACTGCATTCTAAGAGAAGGTGATGTACATTAAAGTGTGAGTCATTAAATGAGGATTAATTAGATGGGAGACATGATACAGCTGGGGTTACATTGACCGTTGGTTATATAATAAAATACATACCGTGGTATCAAATACATAATATACATAAAATACAAGACAGTAAATCATTCACACAGTTTCTGGGATGCATGTTCATTTATAGGTCAGTTTGTCTATGATTAATGCAGCAAAGTCTGTATTAAAGGCTGTTTCTGTCTTCCCCCATCGTCTCTGTCTTGAACATGTGACCACATTTTTAACAGCAATAAAACCAACTTATCTGATCATGGTCATGGTAACTAAGACCTTTTGGCCCTTTTGGGGGGATGGGACCACAGATCCCAGAGTGAGTTTAAAATATTATTAGTTAACTATAACAAATACTTGTGTCTGATTCGTTACAATTCTCATAAGACTATGTTATTTTGACAATATATCCTAGTAAAACTAGGTAATATAATAATGGTGGTATGGCCAATGGTGGTACACGCCAATGTTTTGTGATAAGATCAAATGCAGTGCATGACCCATATTAAATAAAATATTCAATGTTTCAAGGAAAAAATCTACTTCTTGTACTTTTAAAAATGTACCGGTTACTAGATGAGTGCATTATTGAAAGGTAGTGAGAAAAAGAGAGCAGGAAGGCCAGATTGAGAAAGAAAACATTGCAATGTAGTGAAACTTGCTTACTTCCTCATGTGCCGTCAAGATTTGTAAATCTTTAACCTCTACTGTGGCAAATAACAGTCAAGAGGTGTTTCCAGAAGGCTCTGGAGGCTGGCTGTTTGACACTGACAGAAGATTTACACATGAACTGACAAGCTGACATCACATCATCTTCAGCTCTCTTGAAACCTACAGTGAATGGATGAACTGCTTCTGTTACATCAAACTGTCTGTCTGCTGAATTACTATTGATATTCAGTATTGATAGGGTAAATGGGTAAGTATCTGCAATCATTTTCTCGATGTGCCAAACTCTTTGGAATTATTCAAAATAGTTGTTTCAGTATTATTTTGCAGAATAATCCTTTAAATAAAAGTTATACGAAGTTACACGTTATTTCGTTAAAAAAACGTTTTTTGCAATATAGATGTAGTAGGTCTGTTTTACAAATATAGGTACAGGCTGGCTACCTTGACTAAAATTTGATTGAAATTTTTTCATCTTTTTCTCTTTTTTTTGTGCTTCCTTTAAAATTGAAAGGTGTTTAGAAGAGTTACAAGGGAAGTGTTTTGAAACTTCTGCTAATATTACCGTGTGAAAGAACTGTCAAGTTCAGCTCATTTAAAACACCATAGAAGGACAGATCTTCAAGTAATTTTTCACCTTGACAGGTATGAAATGACCAGGTTATTGGATGTACCAACATGTATTTCAAAATTGTAGAGGAAAAAAAAAATCAACATTGATAAAAAGAAATGTGATGAATATATCTATTTTTCAGGGCAAAAACGTTTTACCAGGAAAAGAGTTGAAAAAAGTGAGTTTATGTTATATTTCACCCTAAATCTCATAATAATACATTTACTAAGATTATTTTCTTCGACTCTTTGTTTAAATATGTTTACCATTGAATTAATTTTTTCTTTTCTTTTTTACTTTTTGAGAGCAAGTAAATCCAAAAATGTCTCTTTTTCAAAGCAGTGTCAGGCATGATCATAAACAACAACACAAACCACACTGGCCTGCCGGAGGACTTCAAAATTGCTCTTCTGGTCTTATACACATTCATCTTCCTTTCTGGGACTCTTAATGTGTTACTAATGTCCTGTATGCTACAGTCCCAAAGACGTCTCTCTTTCACCAAAGTGTCTGTGATAAACCTAATAGCAGTGCACTCCATTTTCCTTCTCACGGTGCCCTTTCGAATTTACTATTATGCTTTTAATGAAACCTGGATTCTGGGTATGTATTTCTGCAAAATTGTCAGTCTTATGGTCCATGCCCACATGTATCTTGCATTCATCTTTTATGTCTTTCTTCTTATTGTGCGTTATGTGGAGCAATCTGATCAACAGCACAGGCTAGAGTTTCATCGCATCCTTCATGCCACGATCGCAAGTGCAATTGTCTGGTTGGTCATATTTGGCTCTATGTTCCCAGCAACTATGGCTAACTACGGAATCGCACAGAATGATTCCACTCACTGCTTTCATTTCGGTCAGGCTCTCCGGAAGCCTGCTGTGAAGACGTTAAACTATGTTATTTGCATTCTAGTGATACTGGGTTGGAGTGTGCTGGCATTTTTCCAAGTTTACTTCCTGCTATACGTGAGAAAGACATTTGGAAAGGCCATGTGTCAACGTCAAGAGTTCTGGGCACAATTGAAAAACATTGTATTCCTGTCCATTATGTTTTTTTGTTTTGTGCCCTATCAAGGATTCAGAGTATATTATGTGAGTGAATATGGCAATACTGAAGAAATTAATCATATAAATGAAATCTTTCTTGCTGTCACTGCTTTCAGCTGCTTTGATATGATTGTTTTTGCTGGTAGAGATATATGCAAACGTATAAATTCAAGGGGATGGTTTTGCGGTTTATAACAACTATGTTTACTTTATTTAGTTTCTATATTGTTATTGATTTAGTGAATTTATTTCCATTTTCTTTTATTTGTTTTTGATGTTAGAAGGCATAAGCCTTATAACAGGGGTTCCCAACCTTTTTTGTGCCAGGGAACAGTATATTCATAAAACAATTCCATGGGACCAGTTGTCATTTTTAATGCCTCAATTTTAAGATGCATCGTTTTGAAATAAGATATGACGCCTTTGTTGCAGCTACGTTTAGGCTACTGATGTTGAGGATATCAAAACTTGCCGCTGAGCGTCCAACTCACGTTTCTTTCTTTCGAAAAACTCCTCCGTTTTGTCCTTGAGAGTTGGGTGTTTGGTGATTAAGTGCCTCTGAAGTTTTGACGGCTTCATTGCAGAGTATTTCACCACAAACAACACACAATGGATTTGGCGCTACGGAATCGCCTGTTGCCGTAAATCCATACCTAATATATGAGGCATCGTATTTATGATTGAAGCTCGACTTGCTTTTCTTTTTTCCGGTACTAGCGGATGCGGGGACCGAGGGTTGGGAATCGCTGCCTTATAAGCTTAAAACAATTGTCTTGTATGACAGAATGTTTGGAAAATAAACTATATATATGTATCGCATGAAGCAACATGCATGTGTGTTTAGTTTTATATAGATTTTTTTTTACTTGTGGAGAACTGAATCTGGAATAAAACTGTTAAATAGAGTGATAAGGTTTGGGTGTGAGTTCCTCATAATAGTAGTGCTAACCATAAAGTTTACAACAGATCCATCACTGTTTAGCGGAGGCCATGGCTTTAATGTGTCACACAAAGACAGCCATTTCAAATAATAAAAGAAAAGAAAGTAAAAGTTGGCACACTACAGCTTCAGACAGCAAAATATTTAGGCCTATTTCATGTTCTCACCACAGGTGACGTTTCGAGTCCCAATGGCTAATCATTAGACAATGACTCACTCACCCATTTGGCTCGAAACGTCACCTGTGGTTTTCTAAGTTTGGAGCTGTGGTGTGCCAAATTTTCTTTCCTTTTCTAAAAATGTTTTTGTGGTTGAGCACACTCTTGAGCATTTTGCCTGTTAGATGTGTCCCAGTTTGCCAGTAATACCCTGTCCCAGTTTAACAATATGCTATTTGCAAACTGGGACAGTGTCAAAATCGCATAAAAAAACCCCAAGAAGAGTAATATGAATGTGATTTTTAAAAATTCTGATTCTCCATTACATCCTATAACAAAATATATAACAATTACAAATGATCCATGAGTTTTTTCATTTTTATAACCTTAACATTATTTACCTCAGAATGCTATGTCATTTTACTTACCATCACGGTTCACTGCAAGGTTGTTAAATATGATGTGCCACACACTGGAAGTGATGTCATAGCCACATCATCTTTTTTTTTATATCACATACGTGCTAATGATGAGCTCAGTGTTGATTTTTAGTAATAAAAACATATCCATGTAAAGATAGAAATGATTAAGCTTAACTGTCCCACTTTACCCATTGTCCCACTTTACCAGTATTCACCCTAAAAGAATGAGCAAACCTATGAAGGAACACCTTTTATGAGTGTTTGAAAATGGGACATGGTTTAAGTGCTAAAATGCACTTTGATGTTTGGGGTGAGTTTGCCTTTACTTTTCCCCAAAACTGTACAGTAAAATGACATGAAAATAAATACAGTAATAGTCAGGGTCACTCTGAACAGGAATTTAATGAAATAATGAGCAAACCTATTAAGGAACACTTTTTATGAGTGTTTGAACATGGGACATGGTGTAAGTACTAGAATGCACTTTGATGTTTGGGTTGAATTTGCCTTTACTTTTCTCCGAAACTATACAGTAAAATTACTTGAAAATAAATACAGTAATACCCAGGGTCACTGAACTCATTCAGTGTGAGGTAAATTTGCTGAAATCACACAGACATCGAACAGTGTATGCCCGCCTTTAAGTCAAGTCATCTTCATTTATATAGCGCTTTTAACAATGGATTGTTTCAAAGCAGCTTTACAGAGATAAACATATAATTTAAGGTAACAGATTGTTTTGGCGTTATAGCGGTTCTTGAATAATGTTACTTCCAGCTAAAGTTAACTTTGATTGATTCACCTCCGTCGAAATGATCAGACTTTAAACGCGAACCTGTGATTAACGCAGACGGCGTTCACATGCTCATTCAGAATTCTATAGTTATGTGCTTTTTAAAATATGTGCGCAGGTTTGTAATTCATACAACCCAGCCTAAACAAACTACTTTTCTTGCCTATAAATTTTGATACAGAATTTTGTTTTATTTTATCACTTTGGGGTACGCGGGCCGGAATTCACAACGCTTTATCTGTAGAGTGGGAAAGGGATCCTCCATAGGGCGAGGATAGTGGATACTTCAGCACTGCATTGTCATCGGGTCCAGGCAAAGCTCCCTCGTCAGATCTGGACACGGCCTGGATCCGGCAGGCTGCGGGAAAACCTCGGGATAAACAAAGACACTAATATTAGCGTAGATGCCATTCTTCTTATGATGTAGCGAGTACATCAAGATTTAAGGGAAGTGTTCCCAGTTCCGGCTGACCTAATCTATGCAGCCTAACATTGAATTTATAGAAGTCTATTTGTATTATGTGTATGCTAGGTCAAAGAGATGTGTTTTTAGTCTAGCTTTGAACTGACAGAGTGTGTCTGCTTCCCGGACAATGGTAGGAAGACTGTTCCAAAGTTTTGGTGCTAAATAGGAAAAGGATCTACCGCCTGCAGTCGATTTAGATATTCTAGGTATTATCAACTGGCCGGAATTTTGATGTGAAGGACTATAATGCGTTAAGAGCTCGCTCAAGTACTGCGGAGCTAAACCATTTAATGCTTGGTAGGTAATCAACAATATTTTAAAATTTATACGATGTTTAATAGGGAGCCAATGCAGTGTTGACAGAACCGGGCTAATATGGTCATATTTCCTGGTTCTGGTAAGAACTCGAGCTGCGGCGACATTACATTAAATGTGTTCCTTTTATGGTAAACAGAAAGACCACCCTTCCTATTGGCTATGATTTTTTCTGATAGACAAGTAGGCTATTATTTATAGTAGGCCAACTAATTATCAACGTAGTAAGCCCTACTTTTTGAAAAAAACAAATATATGACACACACTGTCCTGACAGTTGTAGTCGGTTGGCGACTAAAAATTACATCCCTGCACTGAACACTTGGAGACCCAGAAGCCACTTCCAGTAAATATGTCTAATTATATATACTGTCATACCATAAAAACATTATCATGTGGGACCGATCAGCAGCACCCGATATAAACTGCAAAGCAGACAGCAGATATGGTCTCTCTTGGCACCCTGGTGGCTAGTGGTCAACGAAAATAAATTTTTGTCTTCTTATAAAAAAAGCTTGCAACATAACACGAATTAATGTAAAACACACCATCACCGAAACTCCCCTGTATTGCTGTAGTGATTTTTTAAAGGCATGCAGAACATTTTCATGCTGCCTTAAAGGGGTCATATAATGGTACATGCACTTTTTCAAGTTGATTGTACTGAAATGTGTGTTGGCAGTGCCTGTACACAACCATCATATAATGATAAAAATCTATCCAGTGTTTTTGTTTTAATTCTACTTATATGTTTTACCCTGCCTCAAATTGAGCCGTTCGTTTTTGTGATGTCAATAAAACGGACGCCCCTGTCACGTGTCTGTCCTGTCTTGTATTGCACTTGGGTGTCATTAGGCTTGTTCGACTTCATGCAGCTCTGCGCAGACCGATCGGCGGCAGACTTGAAGCAGTGCATGCCGGTTAGAAATGTTGTCCGACTTGATACAGCGCCGACGCCACGTGACTGTGACGTATGCCATCAAAGTACCGCGAGAGCGATTCGAGAGTAGCCGGAGAACTCAGCCAGCGCAGCTTCTGAAGAGCAGCTGCTCTGGGCTGCACGAGCTGTGATGACGACACAGCTGTTCCACGATTGGCCGGATTCACCGCATGACAACGATCACGTGCGTTTCGTGTTTATTCTCACACCTTTAGTTCCACTAAAGCTCACAAATCAGTTTTTTTTAATTACAGTAAACACTCTTTTCATGTAGTCGCGATTTATTGTGTTATGTTTATCAAAATAAAACTGATTAAAAAACGTTGATTCCACTTCATTGATAGTAGGCCTAGCTAGGCCTACTATCAATGAAGTGGAATCAACGTTTTTTAATCAGTTTTATTTTGATAAACATAACACAATAAATCGCGACTACATGAAAAGAGTGTTTACTGTAATTAAAAAAACTGATTTGTGAGCTTTAGTGGAACTAAAGGTGTGAGAATAAACACGAAACGCACGTGATCGTTGTCATGCGGTGAATCCGGCCAATCGTGGAACAGCTGTGTCGTCATCACAGCTCGTGCAGCCCAGAGCAGCTGCTCTTCAGAAGCTGCGCTGGCTGAGTTCTCCGGCTACTCTCGAATCGCTCTCGCGGTACTTTGATGGCATACGTCACAGTCACGTGGCGTCGGCGCTGTATCAAGTCGGACAACATTTCTAACCGGCATGCACTGCTTCAAGTCTGCCGCCGATCGGTCTGCGCAGAGCTGCATGAAGTCGAACAAGCCTTTTGTTATTTTGGCCCATGTGCTCTCGTTATTGTTTGATCCCTCCCCCTTGTTACCTGATTAGTGTTTGAGTTCTTCCACCTGTTCCCTCTTGATTTGTTCCCTTTTTAAGTCTCCTCTTGTTTGCAGTCTTTGTCGGATCGTTGTCATATGTTTTCCCAGTTTCCGTGTGATGGTCTTCGTGTTCAGAGTCAGTGTTCGTTCTTCAAGTTCAGTTTTGTAGTGATGGTGAAATGAAGCTTTGTGAAGGACTGAGGCTTTCCCCTCAAGTGTATCGTAAATTGGTTCATTACTCGAAGCTTTTCAACACGGTGCACACTAACGACATCTTGTGGTCAAAAGGTGGAAAAGCTCCCTTTCCCAATTTTTTTATTTATTGTTTTATGTTATAAATCACTTTGTGCTATGAAAACCACAAAGCAATAAAAATCATCAGTGTTAGTGTTG